AACACTTCTCCAATGCTGGAAGCTGTCATCCCTCCTTTCCTGTAGACTGTTAAGCCCACATGGCTTCCTCTCTTAAAAACCTGCTGTGCCTCTTTAAGTACACTTTATGATGTATACTATATATTGGAAATTCAACTAAACATAAATCTCTTAAGTTTAGCCAAAAAAATTAAATTGAAAATCAAAACACCATCAAACAAAATAAATCAGAGATGGGCACACACATGGAACATCTAAATAATGCAGTTGGTCACATCTCTCCTTGAAGGAGCAAAAAGTTTCTTGGTCCCTCTACCTGGAGCAACACCAATTAAAACAAAAACAATTGTATTTTTCTTTCCTATTTTAGTTATCTTAACATACCACAAAAGCCTATACTTATGCTAAAAACAATGTATAATAATATAATGCCATGGTTGTCCTGCTAGGAGAGCATTTTCTAGCACACTTCTCTTCTGGATTACCAATGCTGATTTAATGGAAAATCATTAACTGGAATACCTGCACCCAGGCATTCTTTTGAGAGTCCTGGAAAGTCACATTATCTAAGAATCCAAAAAAATTTTTTCAGCTGTGATCATGCCTGAGATTAATCCCCATCCTCCAAGTAGAAGCTATCATTTAATGGAATAAAATATAGCTTTAATGCTCAATATGTGAGCTTTTCCAAGTTTTTTGGCTTTTAGGGATCCACTCCTACCATTTGAGACAAGCAAGCTAACTTGTATCCTATAATATCTAATCACAAGTTAACTATGAAAATCTCCCCAGTGACTTATGCATGGTCATTGAGAAAAGGAGTTTATTGAGGAAGAATGAGTAACAGTAGCAATGGAAGCATTAGGCATCCAAACAAAGCTCTGTATGCCCCTATTCTTGTTGGTATTTTTTATACTTTCTGCAACTGCTGACAAAATAAAAAGGAAAGGCAGAGGTTTGAGCATCAGGGTGTGACAGTTTTGAGACTGAATTCTGATCCCTTCCATCTGCATCTCTTCTTGTCAAAGCTAAGAGGATGTACAAACACTAAAAGCAACATTATGCAAAATCAGAAATCTTATCTGGACATAAGCAGCAATCGACTCATCCTTAAAATGTACACATGAACCCGACAGTCATTGTGAGCTAAATCCCAGGAAAGTGTTCATTGATTTAGAGAGGTATGTGATCACCTCTAATGCAAGGATGTAAACACCACCAATCTCTCTTTGCCTAGTGCCTCAATGAGATTCAGCATGTTGAGCAGCTTGAGAAGCCATATTTAAGTTCCTTGGAAGTGGTCTATTAACTTCTTAAAAAAAAAAAAAGGAATAAAATTGACTATATACCAAGATAAAGTGGAAGAAAACACAACATGCTATACTGAATTCCTAGTCAGCAAAAGTTAATGAGTTGCAGATCACGAGCAACTCAATGTAAAACCACAGTGTGTGCATGTTATGAAATTACTCCACAAAAGATTGCTTAAGCAAATTTACAATGAAAAACAACATCAAAACACCAAGGAAGTGGAATGAATATAAATATGAAGCACATTTAAACACCTTGTTTTAAGATGAAGAAAAAGGATCCTCAACCTTCAATAGCAAAATTTTCAAACTACAAAGCAAGATCAGATCAACACCCAGGCCTGTTTTATAATGTTGAGTTTACATAGGCAGGTAAGCCAGACCACAGAAAATGGATCTCCAGTTGCCCCTGAAGCCATGAAGACAGCAATGCAGGATTCTACCCATGGGCACTCTTCGAAGGGTTGAACTGAATACACAACACCTGGAGATGAGCAAGAAAAATTTAAATGGGGCCCATGGGTCTCCAAAGAGCAGTTTTTAACTGGCCCATAAGCTAATAAGAGCGGTTATAAACTATGAACAAATGCAGTACCAGGAGGAACATTTATCACACTAACATGCCTGTAAAGTGGAGAGGGCTCATCCACATGCTCTCTGCAGGTCCTATTAGAATGTTAATTGTTCATACTAAAGGAAAGGAGACATAAGGAATGGCTCTTACCATCATGTGTTAAGTTTATTTTTGTTCTTCTGACCAGTTCCCAAGGGGCACAAGGCTAATGACTGTTCTTCATCATCAACTGCAAAGGATATTTACATCCATCCTGTAACCATGACAGCTGTGTCAGTAATTCCCTAACGGCCTCCACCACATGCACCAATCATCTGGCATGAAGCTGCAAGATGGAGTGCCCTGCAGTCATTATTCACCAAGCACTTTCATTAACAAACTGCCCTTAATTACAGTGGTAATTGCAAAATTATTTCATAGCAGCAATTATTTTTCTCAGCCAATCCAGGCTATTTAAGTAGGACATTGCCTATTAAAATGGCATAAAGCCAAGTAATCTATGACCAAAGATATGTTTTAACTGTACTACCAACTTAGTTTCAAAATATTGTATTAAGGACTTAGATATTATACATCCCATTACACACTACACACACACCCAATCAAAGTAAAACTAACCTTTCCTATTTCTTTAATTAAAAAAAAATGCACTCATAACACTCACATTAAGTATCTAAACTAAAGCTACTGTCTATGAGCTTCTAGATCCAAACCTATTCTTTGAGAAGTGCTGAACAAACTAACCCATCCATTAGAACTAGACATGTTATCCACCGATTCCTTTTACTTCTGAATTCCTCCATATTTATACATTATACATTCAGCTCTGATAAACAGTGCTAGTACACTTGTCTGTCTGTTGGCCTACCAAACAAAGTCACAATTTTTTTTCCCAGAAATCACAACCTAATATTTAAAATTATAGGCTGAAACACATTTATGCTTAGTTTCCTCTTCAACTTGAAAATCATTTTTAAAAATTACTTTGAAGATTAGAGTCACAATGTCCTGTTTGGAGAACAGTGAGTTTTCAGTGAAGCTGAAATGTACAAGAAATGTGTAATTTAGAGACTAAGGAGATGTGGTTGAGCCAAGATAAAGCTTTTAATACTGCAGTCAGACAACATGGAAACATGAGTACTATTCTAAGGACTCTGGGTGCTATCTGGTTAACAGGGAGGACCTGTACAAGGCAAGGGATGAAGCTTGAATTCAGATAGTGTCAATGAAAATAGAGGGAAAGGTTTGAGAAATCCATGAACAATTTTCCAAGTACTTCCAATTATAGTTGGTGACTGTTGGGTACAGAAAGTAATAAAGACATACGCAAAGAGTGCTCTGAGGTTGTAAGAATGGGTAAGTGGTTAGTGAGAGAATGTAATAAGAATCTATAATACATTTGAACATTTAAGGTTTAAGTGTCTAAAGGACATTAACCCAGAGATATTAAGGAAGTAGCAAGAAAGAATAATAATTAACATTTACTGCTTACTTATATGCCAGACATTGTGCTAAATGCACTAGATGCATCAAGTCACATGATACTCAAACAATAGGATCATGAATTAGATCCTATTTTTACAATCATATTTAGATGAGAAAGCTGAGCCTCAATGAGTTTATATTGCCCAAGGTCACTATGACAGAGAATGCTAGTTGCCTAGCAAATATCTACTCTTCCCTTTGTCCTTGCTAACAAAACCCCTCTTTTTTAACTGTCCATGGTAAAGATAACTCACATCTAGGTTATAAGCTGTAAGAGCAGGTGCTGTGTGAGTTGAAAAAGAAACTGGTTCCGCCTATAAAAGCTCTGCTTTGTCTTTACTGCTGCCTAAGGCTGAAGCTCCACCTGTGAACCATGAGATGACTTCTAGGATAGAAGGATGGTAAAGCAAAAAGGAGGGGGCTGAGTTTCTGAAGGTGACTGGATATGTTGTACTGGGTCTGGTTTGGCCATCTCAATTCTTTTAGGTGAAAAAAAAATCAACCACTGTTTAAACTAGTGTGTGTGTGTGTGTGTGTGTGTGTGTGTGTGTTTATGTGTGTGTGTGTGAGAGAGAGAGAGACTGGAGGAAGGTCTCTTAAAGAGAGAATGCACTCCTAAACAGACTTAGGATCTGAATGTAAGACTTTGATTCTAAATCCCAGGCTCTTAGCAAACGTGCTGAATTTGCTCAGGTGAGAGATTAAGGCTACAGATGCAGACTGTCAATTATTGGTTTATGTACATCCTGACAGATTCTTGTTACTTCCTCTAATAAAAAAATAATGCAATAGGGGCCAGGGATTTAGCTCATTGGTTCCACCGCCTGCCTCGCAAGCTCAAGGACCCGAGTTCAATTCCTGGTACCAGGAAAAAAAAAGAAAAAAGAAAATAATGCAATATATCCAGTACCCTTGCAAAAGGAGAGGGGTATCACCATTAAATAAACCACCTAAATGATAAAGAATTAACATGCTACCAATTTTAGAAAACTAAAATAATCCCCAAAACCCTAAAATTAGCAGGGTTTTTGTGTTTGTAGCATTGGGGATTGAACTCGGCCCTTGCACTGAGCTACATGACCAGTCTTTTTAAAATTTAGAGACAGGGTCTCATTGAGTTGCTTAGGTTTGTGATCCTCTTGCTTCAGCCTACCAGAGTGCTGGGATTACAAGTGTAAGCCACTACGCAGAGCTAGCAATTTTAACTTACTGTTAAAGGTTCTATAGCACATTTTTTTTTTTGTTGGTACCAGGGATCAAACTTGGGTCCTTGCACTTGCAAGGCAGGCAGCGAAACCACTGAGCTAAATCCCCGGCCCCTACAGTACATTTTTATTAAATAAAGCTACAAAAGAATTGGCAAGTTACCCAAGTATTAAGTAAAGGGTTTATTTAGTTCTTTCTTTTCTAAATTTTAATTAGAAGAAAATCTAGTTCTGTAAAGAAATGAAAAAATATGTTTCCATATGGAAATAATTTATAATTTCTCATCAAAATCTTTAATAATTTAAAGGCTAAAATCAGTTATTACTTTGGCTTTCCTATACAGAGACATGTTTATAGATATTTCCCTGTATTATACACTGGTGCATGTTAACTAAAAGGTTAATAATCTTTTATTACTACAAGAGTTGCAAAATCAGTGTTTATACCTTCAGTTTGATCTTCAATGCTTGAGTATCTTAGAGTTGGTAGGAATCTAGAAAAGAAATGTTTCACTTAATTAAATATAAAAGTTAAGTCCCCATGCATGCATAATATCCGGAAGGATGATACAGTCATGTGTTTTGCACCTGACAACACACTTTGAAATCAAACGACAGAGTTGCTTTATAGAATTTAGGAAAAAATTGAACATAAAATGTGGGCTTTTTTGAAGAAAAATTATACTCTCTTGTTAAAAAATTATTTTTGAAGTTCATGATTTAACTAGAATTCTAATACAGTCTTTGTAGCAGACAGAAGACAAATGAATTTTCTATCTAAAGCAACTATCACTATATTTTAAAAGATCCACATAGTTCACAGTTTTAACAACATTACAGCCAGTAAGTGAATGTATTTCATTTTGATGATTTCATATATTGCATTAATGAGAAAAATCGAGGCATATTATCTTAGGATCTAAAATATTGTGCAATTCCAAGTTTTATTCCAACTTTCAAGTAATTTAGTTTTTCAAAGATAGTAAAGGGAAACAGAATCTGTGCTAGACAGATAGTGTCTCCCTTAACAATGAAAGAAAGTTATTCTACTAACAATTTGGTTTTCTTCCTAAAGGGTTGCAGGATTGGTGAGAAGCACTGGATTAATTCCATATTCTCTCTGCTTGTGTATGTTTTTAACATCCTCTGGAGTAAATATGCTATCAGTAAGCACACAGTACTTGGGGGAAAAAGGCATATTGTAAGACACTCTCTGGGCCCTCCACAGTGACTAAAAGCAAACATAATAAAACAATCTGACATAATTCAGTGCTTTTGCATTTACCCAATCTTCTCTCAGCACTTTGAAACATCCAAATCATATTCCAGTGCATTCCTAATGTTTGACCCAGATTACATAAAAGAATACACTAAGGTAATAAAAATTTTTGCATATTTTATTTGCAAATACTGGAAAGTAAAAAAGGGTTCTAAACTATTACAACCATAATGTCATAGATTCCTCTTCCTAATAACCTAGTTCCATTAACTAGTAAGTAGTAGAACTTTCTGTGGTATTTAGATCCTCTAAATTTTGACATCATACCACATTCGTCTTCCTGGAAATTTTGCAACAGTGGTATGACACTCTAAGCAAAACATTCCATAGGGTTAGAGTGCCATTTGAGGGAACCAGAGGAATGCAATCATCACCACAAACACACCATCTGCTGTGTCTTACTGCTTAATTAAACTAAAACTGGTAGGTTCTTAATTCTCACAGCTCATAAAAATAAAGGTCAAAACAGAGCACTGGCATCATGCATCATCCACATACAGTTGCTAAAGTATACTTTGCCAACATATCATTCAAAGGGGAAAAAAAGAAATGTACCATCTAGCTGATGTCAAAGCATAGCATGATTCTATTAGACTAATATCAGGTCACTATCAGGACAGCTGAACTGTCAGCCTGACTATATAAAAGGCGGGAAGGCTCAGTTTTTGACCACTGCTCTTTACCTGTCTCCCCAGGCCCTTACCAAAAAAAAAAAACTCTTATGCACATTATAATAAGACGTTTTATGGATTTGCTTGTTCAATCATTCATAGGTTCATTTATCAAGGCATTGTGCAAGACATTGTGTTTACTACTTTGGAAAATACAAAGATGAATCAGATATAGCTATGTACGGCTGATGACTTCACTATACAAAACCTTATTCTTATATATGTCACATATAAAAAGAGCTTTTTTGAGATGTAATTCCTATACCACAGAATTCCCCCATCTCTGATGTACAATTCAGTGCTGTCTGGTGTATTTTAGTATATTCATAGGGCTGTGCAACTATCACTATTATCTAACTTCAGAACATTACTTTCATCCCCCAAAATCCATAAGCACACACTATCAGTTCTCCTTTTCCCTGCCCCTGGCAACCAGTAATTTACTGTCTCTACAGCTGGGCCTGGTTTAGACTTCACATGAAAGGAATCATACTACATGTGGCCATTTTTTTTTTTTTACATGCGGCCTTTTAAAAAAATGTATTAGCATATGTTTGTAACACATAAGAAATAAATGCATCCTGGGTTACATATACATAGCATACCTTGATCCTTTTTTACTTCCCCTTCTCCTCCCTTTGGCTTCTTTCACTCAGCCTATTTTCAAAGTTGACTCATGTTATATTATACTTAAGTACTTCATTTTTATGACTGCATAATATTCCATTGTGTGAATATTCCGCATGTCATTGATGCATTTGTTAACTAGTGAACACTTGGGTTGTTTCTGGAATTTGATTATGATGTGATGCTGCTATGAATATTCATGTACATGTTTTGTGTGGGCATGTGTTTCAATTCTCTTGGGTAAATAGCCAGGAGTGGAATTGCTGGATGTGGCAGCTCTATGCTCAACACTGCCAAGCTGTTTCCAAATTGGGTGTACCATCTTATATTACCAGTAGCAGTGTATGAGGATCTCAATTTCTCTACACCCTTGCCAACACTTACTATCGTCTCTCTCTTTTTATTTTAGCCATCCCAATGGATGTGAAGTGGTATCTCATTATGGCTTTGATTTGTGTCACTCTGGTGACATGCTGAGAATCTTTTCATGTGTTCACATGTGTATCTTCTTAGGAGACATGCACTAAATATTTTAAGTAACTTTTAATCAACCATTTGGTTAAAAATATATGAAATAACTTATTTGGAATCTTTCCACCAAAATGTGACATTTCACATCAAACAACTAATAAGTGTTTTGGGGTGTTTACATAAAAAGACTAAGAGTTGCACTAGATGCTGAGAGGCACCCCCCATCTAAGAGCTGTGATTGAGCACCTGCTAGAGAGACTGTCATGCTTTAGGAGAGGGAGCTCACAGAAAGGGAACAGGTCCTCCTGGCTGAATCTGCACAGTTATCCTTGAATGAAGTAGTGTAGAGGCCTGCGCTGCTGCTCACTCTTTAGGAATGACTGTCCTAGTGTCTGGTGTTGGTTTAGAGGCTGTTTATGACGGCTATCACAGGGTGATGGGATTCACTTGAAGCACTGTATTTCTGCTTTTAGTATATGTGCTGCCAAAGCAAGCACAAGCACTGTATTTCTGTTTTAATAGTTTTATCCAATTTTGCCTTCCCAAGAAATTTGTTCTACCTAAAAAGTTCATGCTGTCTTTTAATATAAAACATTTTAATAAAAAAAGAGGAACAGAAATGTCTAAAGACAGAAAAGTCTTGAAATTTCATGAAGCAATTTAACCTGGGGGGTGTGGGTAGATAAAATTTCACTTGACTAGATAGCTCTTTCTAGCTAATAGTCTAATTGTCACATCTATTGGAAGTCAACTAGTAAGAACTCAGAATGAGGCATAAATTCAGTTTCAGAACAGGTAAATTCAAAAATGTTACGGGGTAAAACAATAGGATTAGACTGATTTGAACTACAGTGTAGAGTGCTGAGGTAACTAAGAGTTATTGTCTTAGGACAATGAATTATGATGCCATTTGCCTACAAAAAGAGGGAAAATCAGAGAATTTTTTAAAAAACCCCCAAAAAACCACGAACATATACCAAAGCAGACCAGTCATGAGGCAATGGTTTTCATTATTCTTTTAAGGGAAGACATAAGAAAAATGGGAATGGGTGGGTGACATCAATCTAATGTGGGCCACAATAAATCTGGTGTAGGACACATAAGATGGTGGTACAGGGCAAGGCAGGGCAGGGCAGGGGGAAGTTATACAAAGAACCCAGCAGGATGCACAGAGTTCAGGAAAGGGTCTGGGTTAGAGATGCTGGAAAGAAGAAAGAACTCCAGTCATTCACATAGCAAGGAGAAAAACCCTACATTGTTCTTAACTCCTTTCAAGCCAAATCACTCTAGTTTGGAACAATGAGGAACTTAATTCAGTGATATAGTTATGAGAGGCTGATGAATGAAAATAATAGATCCTCATTATCTCTTCAACTTCCTTAATGCACCCGTAAAAGTGATCAGGTGTCTTCCTTTAGAATTCTCTGAACTGAATCATGCAGCTTGAACTTTACTATGTAGGCTTTTTAACTTCCTAACAATGCTTTCCAAATACGAAAAACAGAAACAAAAAAACTGCATCAACAATAAAAATGATGATTTGGATGCATGCTCTCTACGAGAAACAAAGGAATCCAAAACTGTGAAGAAGCCAGCAGTACCTTATATATGCTACACTCCTTGGCCCCAATCAATAGCTCTGCTGTCTTGCGTTGGTGTGCCTGTGGAAAAGGTGCGGCAAAACGAGCCAGCAGCCTTAAAAACAATTAAGGGTGAGGAATCTCCTGCCAAACTGCTAGTACAGATATAACCTTTTCCCCTCAGAGGTTAGCGTCATTCCATGGCCAAGAAGAAGCTTGATAAATATTGTACAATGAACAAATGATCAAATTTAGAAAAACTAAGGATGAGGAATGACCAATGGGAGGGAGAACCCAGATGCTTTAGAGAGGCTGAACAAGGCATTGTGTTTCCTGTTTCCTGAAGAGGGCGCCAAACTCCTTGAAGAAGAACAAGAGAAAGCAAAGTTAAAAGGCCAGCATGTGTCTACATTAGAGTGCTGAAGGATTCTTCCGGAGTTGGCAATTCCTCTTTCAAGGCAGCTCTTCTTCACTGGTATTGGCAAGCTCTAGATTTCAGAGGTGATTCACCTGCACCGTGTTATTTATGAGCCGCCTTTTCCCTCTAAGTGCCCAGCCTCACATTAATAGTATGACCAGCTTCACTGCAGAGCTCAACTGTGTCTATCAAATAAATTGAAAGTTCATTAGAGCATCTATTAAAAGGATTTTCAAATGTAAAAGAGCATTTCATAGCTGTTAGGATCTCTTAAGTTCTACAGAAGAAATGTTACAAAACTGCTGTTTAGAACCATCATTCACCCACAACTGCCACAAGTAATCAACTTGGCTCGCCTTCTGGGAGGGCTCGCACACCCCCTTGTGCTCCCAATCTTTCAGACCTCGGGCAAGACTGCATCAGTAAGAGCCCTAAGGAGCCTATCTAAGACATGCATCTCCGCAAGTGGCTAGGACTTGGACTTTGGTCCTCATTAAGGGTCCCTGCCCAAAAGAAGCAGTGGAAGTAGTGGGGAGGCTGGAGGCTTGGTCCAGCTGGAATAAAAGGAGAATGAGAGCAAGGTGTGGCCCAGCGGGCATACACAGGCAAGCACAAATTGAGATTTTGTTTCAGGTTTTCACTAGAATTCTCTAGATCTGATTTTTATAACAAACAAACATTTGCTGCCAATCTCTGAAAATTTTTAAATAACAATAGCTAACACTGACTTCCATTACACTCAATTACATAAGACCCAAGCAGTGCATTGCTCTCATTTTTGAAGCTTTGTTTTAAGCTCCCTCATTAATCTTTCAGTCTTTTCCCATCTCTGCCTGACTGTAACTGCCCCGAATTTATCCAAGCCTGCAGTATGCCAGGCTCACTAGTGTCTAAATCACCAAGAGCTGAATACACATTCTACTCGTGGGACTCTACATTTCCATCAGAAAGAACCAATCACAGCTTAGGAGAGGTAAACCTCTTTTTAATTGTATTCTATGATACTAACAGGCATTCATTACACATGGACCTTAAAACAAGATTTGCTCTTGGCTGCTCATAATTGTATTTCTACAGCAGCTTAAACCGCTGGCACCTGCAATTGCTAGCAGGCCTAAGCTAAGAATTTCTATTATCCCAGTTTCAAGGGTTACATTTAAAATAAAACTCAGAGGGCCAAAACATTACATACACACATATTTACACAAATTAAATACTATGCACAAGTCAATACCTTCTGCACACAAAACTACATTAAACTCAATTAGCCCTAAGCAAAACTACAGGAAGCAGGTTTTCTGTGAACCAAAAGAGCTGTTCTGTATAATAAAGAATATAAAAGCAGCCAGATTATAGAGTTCTGCAGAACTGTCAATAAATACTTTTAAAAAAATCGCTATCATTGCTGATCTCTAAATTAATTAACTTAAGTTAAATTAACATAAAACAGTTCAACCCAAGAATTTATATACAAATAACCTCCGGCTGCTGGGTGCAAATAAAGAAGGGTTTTTATGCATATATGTGTTGTTCAGAGCTTTTCTAAAAAGATACTTCTAACCATGAGCCACAAAAGTCACCAAACTAAAGTACAATGTCCTTCTTGTTATGGTTTCCTACTTGATTATGACCAAAATTAAATTATACAAATATTTCACTAAATATCTTCTCAAACCTTATAAATATTAATATGAACTCAATCTCCTATGTGCCCAGCATTTAAAAATCCATTTAAAAATCTTGGAAACTAATTTAAGATTTCCATCTAGAATACAAATGAGCAAGTCCTCTTCCTAGCTCTGTTTTGCTCAGCACCCATATCTGCACATTTAGTACTGAATGTCAGTTGGTAGCACTTAAAAATTATGAATATTAAAAGCATGTTTCTGCCTGCTAACATAGTAGAGCTCGGCAACCATTGAATTTGTCATAAGCTGAGTTTTCAAGGAATAAACTACTGCCTCTAAAACACCAAAGCATTGTGTAAATTCCCAAATTATGAAAAGGGTATGCAAAGGGATGAGATTTTACTAAATATGTTATCTGGGAAGATTTGACAAACAAAATCTTTTTTAAAACTTTCCACCTTATATGATCACTTGGCTATACCTGTTCTTTAGTTGACAGTGTATCTGAACAATAAATAATATTATCAACTACTATTAACTGAATATTCACTATGTGCCAGGCTCTGTGACAACCATTTTACATACATATGTACATGCTCTTTTTATATACATGCTTTTATCCACATACCATCATTATATACATCCTTATATTACATACTACACATACATGTTATCTATACTTATACCTACACTGTCATATAAATTCTCTACCTCATAAAGTAACTAGTTTTGTTATTCCCAGAGAGGACAGGTGACTTACTTAAGGCATTAAACAAAAAGCAGAAGAATAGTTAACAATTCAATACTCTCTTTACATCCCCTTGTACATTACTATGCAACCAAAGGATAGAACATAAAACCTCCTAATGGGCTGCTGCTGGCTGGATACTGCTCACTCTTTTGGGTTCAAGAGATTAGTACCTAACTATTTTTTTCTTTTTTTGGTACCGAGGATTGACCTTGTACTTGCTAGGCAGGCGGTGGAACCACTGAGCTAAATCTGTGGCCCCAGTACCTATCTATTTTAAATCTCCATTAATAAGTGTTCCATGCACAACTCTTCTTTCTGCAAAGATTCATTCATCCAGAAAACTAAACAGGCACTTTTGGTTTGAATTTTATTATTTTATTTTATAATAAATAATTTTATTTTATTGGGATTATTTTACTTTATTCTTATTCTATTGTTTTACTTAATTTAAAACAGCTTACTGAGATCACCTGTTTATTGTATGGAAACCCAACCGGGTTACTCTGCCAAACCTCTGCACTATGCACCTATTTACACCCAAATGCTTGGCTTGGAAGGCAGGAGAGAGTGGTTACTGGGATTGAGATCTGGAACAAAGTTCAACAAACAGTACACTAATATCCCATGTGACAAATCCTTCATGTAAGTAAAAGATAATGCTACCACCCATTTAACAGATTACCAAGCAGATTAAATGAAGGGATGTATATAGAGTGATGCATACATAGTAAGTACTCAATACATGTTAGCTGTTATCTTTCTTTGGAGTGTTGGATTCTAATCAAAACATCTTTACTACTTTCTTTGGAATGTTATATAGTTCTTTTTTGTCTCTCTATTAAGAATCATCTTAGACTCAATAAGTATTTTTTCTACTCAATTTTATGCCATCAGCTCCACAGCTCTCCAAATCATTCTAAATTACCCTTAAGTTTCTCTGGACTTTGAGAGATTCAAAGTCTTTTTCCAAATTATATATTAAACTTTCCTGTTTGCATTGATTTTTCTAGCTGCTTAATCACTTCTGTTAACCTCTGCTTTTTACCAGATTGGCTAGATCTTTCTGATATGAAAACATGCAGATGAACAATCTGAATTAACCTCTCAAGAGCCTAAAAATTAGAACTCATTGAAGTCCATCCTGATTTCTGCCTTCCCTTAGCATTTACCACTACGTTCATTACCACATGCTCATCTGGACACTTCCTCCGTGCCTTACATCACAACAGATGTTTTGTCCAGACCTCAGAGTAAAATTTTCTCTCCCTTTCTCTTATAATGGGAAATACACAGTGCAGTTACTTGCAAAGTTATTATTTGTACATGAAACTACAACTTTCCAGTATGTATAGTTAAGTTATATGTTTTCATTCATTCCTTCAACAAACATTTGTTTTATGCCTACCATGTCCCATGGTAGGTAGACAATATGTTTAAGCACAGAAAAAGAAATACCTTATGTGCTAAATTCTGGTGTCTGCTTAGGTCACACAGGTTAAAAGGAATGCTATGATTTTTTAAGAGTCAAATTAATTAAATATTATTTAGAAATATATATTTTTATTTCCAAATTCGATTTCTTTTTAGGGGGAAAAATTCTCAGTGGACTAAAAAGTCCCTCTGAAAACTGTCAATGTATTTTATAGGATGTGCTGATGTGATAATAAATGAGTCTGCAGACAAGAATAGGAAAGGGCTAGGCACAGTGGGATATGCCTGCAGTCCCAGATGCTAGGGAGCCAAGGCAGACCACTGGCTAGTTCAAGGACAACCTGGGCAACTTAGCAAGACCCTGCCTCAAATAAATAAATAAAAAAGGATAGAAGTGTAGCTCAGCAGCAAAGCACCTGCTTACTATGAACAAGGCCTTGGTTTGACCCAGCAAGGCAGGAAAAAAAAGGAATGTAGAACTGTTTTTGTTTCTCTGGAGTGATATGGGATGATGGTGTTTTATTCTGTTTTCTATATTCATTTATATTGGCATATTATTTTTTACTTTTATTTCTTATAAGAACTTTTAATAAAATTTCAAACATTATGTATCTACTTAATGTAACCCCAAAAGATCACTGAAGTCTCCCTTTTTGTACTGGGAATAGAACTCAGGGACTCACAGTTGCCAGCCAAGCACTGTGCCACTGAGTTACATCTCCGGCCCTGAAGTCTCCTTTAATGAAAAATAATTCAGCACTTTTACTTCCCTTTCTTTACACCTGTAACAGTATTCTATTTTATTTTTAATTATCAGAATATTTTTTAATGTTAACCTTAACTTGAAACTGCCTGAAAGGTGGTGTGGGGCATATCAATATCCAAGATCAGGTCTCTTTTAGATCTGAAAAATATTCATTCCTCCAATGATTATCACAGTTTATTCCTTTGTTTTGCTTTGTATTGTGCAATAATCTCTATCACTTTCAGACTATATTTGTGTCTTTCTTCTAGAAGGCTCTGTTGGCATTCTAGGTATTTTTCTCACATTTATTGGGGTTTCTAAGTAAAGCCTTCCTTTTATTTCCAATGAAGATTTATATTACCTATTATGTTTTCATTTCATTATACTTCCCTTTTAGATTCTTATTTACTAGATGAAACCTCTTTAGGTGTCTCACTGAGTTTACAAGGAAGAGCTTTTCTAACAGTTTATTTCATGAAGCAAATCTATTTCAGAAAGATTTTTCTGAAACAACTTTGACTTGGAGCTGTAGAATTTTAATTATTTGTCTATAATATGTAGTTTGGTCTTTTTAAACCTTTGAGCTTGGTCTCCTGACCTTGGTCTTCCAGGCTTACCATAACTGAGGACTGCTTAAAGTTCTTCTCAGCAGTTCAGATGAATCAATTAATTTAACAAATCTCTTCAGTGCTTACTGTGTGTGGACACTCTTCTGTCCACTGGGAATCAATGAGAGAGAATCTACTCCAATTCCCAACTCTTTCTTCCCGGCCCTCATGGAGCTGAGAACTTAAAGAAAGAAACAACAAAATCTCACACTGGTGAATGAATATGAAGAGACATTTGCAGATGGCCTGGTGTCCAAAGCAGAACCAAAAGATGACTGATAGCAGGTGTGAATCCTGATTCTTGACTTCAGTCAACCAAGGTCATAGACTGTCACCTGGTGGAGCCCAAGGAGGTCTCGCTAAAGAACAGATAAGGACCTCAATTCATTAAGGTAGGTTCCTGACTTTCATCGCAGAAAAAGAATTTCAGGATGCATCACTGAAAGGCATAGACAGATTTATTAGGCAGAGTTAGAAAGGAAGAGAAAATAGGAAAGGGATGTCACAGCTCTGATGAAGAAGACCAGCCTAGTCCATTAATAAAGGAATGAGACCAGCTTTAATGGAATTGTCTGGGTGGACTAGGGGTGATCATTTTGTCAGTTCTGGTTTTGCATTCTGGGTCTGAGGAGAGATCTTTATCACTTAATCTGGTTTCCATGAGATGACTGCTTCTGTTTGGGGCAGTCTCAGTTTTGCAGAGGCTTCACCTGAATCCATAGTTTTAGGGCAATTACTGGAGAGTTCTGGGTCCTCACTGGTAGTTGAATGTCCTTGCAAATCTCTTATCTTGGGGTCCTCAGTCTTGAAGGTGGATGAGATAGGTCATATAAATTTAGGATTAATCAATCTCATATTGTCAGCTTTTAAACAGACACTCTCTAAATGATTAACATGTCTACATGCAGAGCTCAGAAGGGATCTGATCCAACATTTTATGGTAATAAAGCAGATAAGATACAAAATAAAGGCCAAGCTTTGTTCTGTTTTTAGTTATCTATTAGAAACCTACAGGCCCAAGTGAAGATTTATTGCTTTTTAGGTTTTGTTTTGTTTTGTTAGCAAAAACAGTTTTTAAGTCTCTGATTGCCTCAGAGGAGAACACAAATCATGCTTTCGGTGAGTAGCAGGTTAAGGGCCTAGAAATAAGTTTGTCCTCTGTCTCTCTGGTGGTCTCTGAACATGTCAAGACTAACTCAGAACCTGCCTGGGAGCCAGGAGTCATCCCCACAGCTGTACCCCAGGAAGCTGATAAAGTCAAAGAATGAGAAGGTTGCCAGCTACTTACCCAATCATCTAAAACAATCAGCAGCATTGGAGATGAACAAAAGGAGCACCAGCCCAGTGCAAAGACAGCAGGATTCTATGATGACTAGAGACAGAAAATGGGCAAGTGTGGAGGAGGAATCAGTTGGAGAAGGGGGGTTGCTAAAGAAGAGGCAACTCCAATCCAGTTTCAACCACAGGAAAGAATGTAAAAATTCTTTACAGAAACTAGAATGGGCTCACTGCCATTCATTGTGGTTACTTCTGGGGATTTGTTTCCTTTTCAGACAATTTCATGGGTATTTTAAAGGAAATAAGGAAGACATTGTTCACAGCACTTCCACTCACTATGCTATTTTCTTGGAAGTCAGTGGTTCAATCTTAAATGAAACTTCTCACTAACATTACGTTCACTTATTTATGCTCTCTAAACAATGAGTGTTTTTAGGCAAAGATTTTCTAGCCTACCCAACTAAACAAAAGAGCCTCCCACACAGAGACACACATTTCCATTTCGAAAGCCCTGCAGGCAGATCTGTGAAGCTTGCTATCATAAGACTCATTTAATTTGAAATTAAATTAAGGGCCCAAAAGGTAAGCACATTGTTCATGTTATTCCAACTAATGTCCTAAACTTACAATTTCAATGATTCTCCATCCAATTGATGACTCCTACTGTAATAAAGAATTCATGAACCATGGAACCAACTGACAAAAATAAAATAAATAAATATCATTCACAGTTTAGAAGTAAGAATAAGCATTCCCACAGCCCAGTTCCTAAGTCACAAAGGGTAAATATCTGGAGGAAAATTTTTATTAAGTCTATATGTAAAAGATGTTTAAAAAAAGGCACAAGCACAAAGGGTAATTTCCTAATAAAAACATACCAAGCAAGGTCCCAAATTTCTGATCATTATTAGTCCTCTCCTCTCCTCTCCTCCTCTCTCTCTCCTCTCTCACTCTCTATCCCTCCCTCCTGAGCTAGGTGAGATGGTAAAATGAAACACAGATCTTTTGTTCTTCACAGTTCTAAGGTTCCTCTCCCAAATGCATGGGGACGAATCTGATACATTCCTTTATTCATCGTACATTGATTGATCAAGTTGCCCCAATTTTTCTGAGGTTTTCAAACAATGCTCACTGCCTGAAAGTAGGAGGGGGAAAATAGGTGATAGAGAAAGAAGCTGGGTTGGAAATTCTCAAATACTGCATGAAGACATCCACAGGGCAAACACAATCATTACCAAACCATTTGATTATTTCTGAGCTGGATACAGAAGCAGATATTTGAAAAGGTTGCCAGCCTCCTCCTTCCCTGACTTCCTAGACAGGAAAACAAGGACAGAACAGGAAATGGATAGAAAGAAAAGGAGATAGTTTAGGAGAAACAGAAAGGAAGGACCAGATATATGAAGGCTCTTTCAAAGAGGAGACTAATAGAGTTGGAAACACTGAGAGTGGAGCAGATCTATGAGGTGTGGCATGTGTGCACAGCTGAAGTGGAACGATGAAGGTTATTTTAGTTGAGGGATTTGGAGAAGTAGGAGATGTAGGTATTAAAAAGCCATCAAAAGGAACACTATACTTACTGGAAACTCTGCACTGAATCATTGAGAAAAAGATGAGACTATTTTTTGGTACCAGGGCTCGAACTCGGGTCCTTGCACTTTCGCAGCAGGCAGCGAAACCACTGAGCTAAATCCCCAGCCCCTTAAGATGAGACTATCTTGCAGCAACTATGGCTCTAGAATTGTTAGTAGGGAGGTGAGGGGGTAAAACTCGACTGGTATGGCACTTACATATAGTATTGCTATAGTTTAGATCTGAAATGGCCCACAAAGGCTCATATGTTGCAGGCTTGGTCCCCAGACTGTGGGGATATTGGGAGGTGATGGATCCTTTAGGAACTGGACCTAGGTAGAAGGATCTTTGGTCATTGAGAGTGCCCTTGAAGGGGACATAGGGACTCCAGCCCCTTCTCTCTCTCTCTCTCTCTCCCTCCCTCTCAGTGGCTATAAGATGAGCACCTCCTTTGTCATGTACTCCCACCATGATGTACTGTGCTGAAACAGGCCCAAAGCAACGTGGCCAAGTGATCATGTACTAAAACCGTGAGCCAAAATAAAGTTTTACTCCTTATAAATTGTTTATCTCAAATAATTTATTACAGTAGCTGAAAGCTGACTAACACACACATGCTTGATGCAGTGTCAGTTTCCATGCCTAAGAATGGGGACAATTATAAAGAATACAGGGGAGTACTCAACCAACCTTTCTTTTGTTTGATGCCCTCATTGACTTATGTGTAAATCACGGTGATCTACTTAAATTTCATGAATTGAAAGTAATTGAAAAATAAATACTCTGATTATAAATAAAGAGGGGTGTGTAGTATACTTAATCCTTACTGCTCAATTCAGGAACAGAATGACAAAAAAGTGATGCACCTTGGCCACCTGTGGATCTTCCAGGTCATGCCTCATAGGGTCACTGCAGCCAAATCCTAAATTGGCATTTTCTCACTGTTCCATCCCCGTCACTCTTCTCTTCTCATTCTACTCACCCTGAGCAGTACTGACACCTTGCCCACCCAAGACCAGCACGGCCAATCATTTACTGATCTTTCCTTTCTGGGTGTCCTATCGGTTTTCCAAATCAACATTGTTAAAACTAAACTTAGAATCTTCTTGCTTTCTTCTGCTTCTATTCATATGGTCAGTTAAGCTGGACAGTCATCTTCAAAAACTTTTTTCTTTACTTTACTTTTCTTTCTGCAATGCTAAATGGTAAACAAATTCCAAGGATTCCAACTACTTTGCAGGTCTATTTCCTCTTTTCTATTTTGACTAGTACAAACTTAGAGCCCATCATATTTTCTCACCTGATTTTCCAAATGGCCTTCTAAGTAACTTTTCAATTCTCTAAAACATCCTCTATGCTACCACCAGGGCAATGTCTCTAAACAACAATCTCATCAGATGCTCCATCACTGAAAACTTTCAACAGCTCCCAGTGCCTACTGGATGAAATGCAAAGCCTCTTAAGCTCTGAGTCATGAAGTGTGTGTGTGTGTGTGTGTGTGTGTGTGTGTGTGTGTG